ATCTTTACAATTTCCGATGGAGGGTCTTCATTACAGCACTAATGTTTGATCAAGCCACATGATTCCTCGATTGTCAGAAACTGTTTCTCAGGGTTACACTCAAAATGAGGCGAATGCAGTCTCGTGGACAATTTCATGATCAGCTGAGCGTTCCAGGTATTTTACTGATAGATTATCGTTGTGAGCCGGCCCACGAACTGATAAACCCGAAAGCCTTTTTGATCGCTCAAGTAGCCCGAAGTCACTTGGGGGATCCCGGTAATGACTGACGGAACCCAACATGGGCCTTCTAAATACTAGACAACGCCTACAAAAGGTAACATGCTAGTTCTTGGAATGTTCCAAATTGAAGATCTCGCCCTCGTCTTCCATCGTGTTGAGGCTGACTAAATAATTCGAATACTCGCTAACATCGGCGTTCATAATATCTCTACGACGTGCCTGAAACTCGGCATCACCACTGGCAACAAGAATTAAGCTATGTCAAATATATGATTATCAATCGAGTGAGGCTTCATTGATAAAGAGTACAACCATGACGATTCGTCATCGACGAACAATGTCAGTTGGGGAAGCTCTTCTCATGCAGTGTCCAACACAAAGCCACCTCCAAACGCCTTTTCTCTTTGGTTGTCTCGACGGCCAATGTATTCTCCTCCTGTCGCAGTTGATCGCCTGAAAGATTTGCTGCTGAGCCACTCAGACGTTCAGATGCTAACGTGACGGCAAAAAAGTGGCCATTCTCCTTCAGTGGCCTCACTGAGTCGTTTATATTCCCCAATAGCTTCTTTGGTGGTACTTATGGCTTCGGCCCCTTCCTTTAGCGCACGCTCGAGTCTTCTACTATCATCGCTTCTTATCCCAGAACGCGACATCCTAAATCGAGCTCACTAAACAATTATGAGTGAGCCCGATTTAAGATGTCTCATTATGAGTCATAATGAGGTCAGCTGAGTAAGATAAACGAAAACGCACTTCTACTAAGGCGAGTCTCCTCAGGAGACACGATCGATGGAGAATAATATTCACAATTAGTCAGAGGAAGAGCCGATACGGATGTAAAGTGAGTCGCCCATAACTGGATCGTCGACTTCCGAATGCCTTACAGTAAAGGGGCGATCGAGCCGTGACTCTTGTACTTCTTCGCTCGTAGATGATGCTGTACTAAGGGTGAATATCTACGTTGAACATTGACGGCGTCGGCAAAGTAGGCGGGGACGTTACTTCAATTGCACTTTTACACGGCCAGCCACGGAGTCGTCTCCCTGAGGGCTCAGCGCTGCATAGGCTTCATCATCAACGACGTTCTAAAGGGCGACTGAGATGAATCGACACCACGGCACTTGCCTGTGAGTTCGGCGGAAACTCATCAAATTCACGGGACTCCTCTTGGATGATCGGGTCTCTGATCAGCGACAGGGTTAGCTCCTTCAGTATTGATTGAAAGAGCCTACTGGTGCTGCTTTTTCCCTCGGCCATCATCGCTAATACGTCGCCCCCACCGAGATTGAGCTTCCAATGGGAGGTGTCTGGGAACTCAGGAATGGCACCTGACCGTGGGGTGAGGCCTCCCCACTGGGGAGCGAAAGACGCTGTTGATAGTGCATCACGAGCGAACATCAACAATACTGCATGTGTTGTGATACATTGGTGATAGCTTCAAGAGGGGCTCCCTTTACCAGTGGTCCAGAAGGCGAACAACGAGACGAGGGATTTCCTAAATTCGTTGCTGAATCTCATCCGCGACTTCGGGAAAGCCAAGAACATGCCGTATAGCACCGTTTGTGCCACAGCGTCGTAGAACCTCTGAGTGACGGGCAGCACTAATTCAGGCGGTCTGGAGGGTAGGAAGTTCCCACCTCGAAAAATAATTCCCGCCGACTGGGCTTAATAACATCCAACAACTTCACGTAGTTCGCGGATATTCTGTCGAAACGTTTGACTGCGGCTGCACGATAGAGTTCAGGTTTGAGGTTATGACAAATACAGAACCTACGGAAGACATGGAAGCATTAACGGTATGTTGTTGGCCACCCAAAGCTGTCACAGACGATGGCAGCCATCGGATGGCTTGGCAAACAGCTGATAGGAAATCGTCTGCCCAAGCTGCCCGAGCTTTGGCCGTTCGCCCTTGGCACGTCAAATCGGCAATAACGTTCATCAGCACCTGTGTGCAATTGTTCTCGTGACTTTTCCAAGATCCGATAGACAGTAGCATCCCGAGTGGGTCTTCCGACGCAACGCACCTTCTTCGCTGGTATAGTTTTGGGCAGCGGGAAGAAGAGCGCATTCGGATTACTGAAATTCGGATCGTCAGGTAGCGGAGCGACAACGTCCTCAACACGAAAGATATCGAACGCTGTGATTGGTTCTGAAAACGACACACGTTCTGCTGCTGACAGTATCTTTAGTTCATCCTACGGGGCCTGCTATTGTCGTTCGCCACTGTTCGATCGTCTCTCTCGCTCGTTGATGGAGGCTGACTCTCCGACCTCCTATCAAAACCGAACAAAGAATCAAGCTAGTGCGAGCAGCACGAATGACGCTCACAACTTGTGAGTCACAAGGTCGACGAGATGTTTACAGGCAGCAGCGACGAGACTTTCGTAACAGCTGTGAATCACAGCTGTTACGAAAGTCTCGTCGGTGGTGCTTGTCATGTGACCACCGAGTAAATCGATACTACACAATCTCGAGTTCGAACCCAGTTCTCTGAGGACCTAGCGAACTGCAGAAGGAATGTATGAAGCTAGTTTGTACTTTGTAGCTTTCGAGGACCGGAAACTACAGTTAAAGTAATCATAATGCGGTGTGACACCATCACTGCCAGCTGCCATTCTGAAGGACCTCGGTCTCCCATTGTGAAAACGAAGCCGCAACCAGCGGTCCTCGACAATTTAACACTCAAGGAAGCGCATGCCTCCAGATTTTGTAATGTTCACCCGTGAAACAGAAAGGAAAGGCAAATAGGTTAGAGTATGGAAACGTAGCAATACTTTCGCTCAACTTACACAACCTACTAACAGTTTGTCATCTTGAACTCTGATATAACTCTTACTGAATTTTGGTTACTCTGAAAACACTGTTCTGTTGAATCAGCGCATCGATTTATCCGCTCCGATAGGCATTGCGTTTACCACGTAAATGATACATTCTCGAACTCCCATAAAAAGAGCTTCCGACCTACATCACCATGACGTCACCACGCGATGTCATTAGATGTTGTCATGCATCATCGCAACTCATAGGTTGCAGTGCAGAGAAGTCGTGTCGTGATATGATCAGTCATGATTGGCTTGGAAATTAATGACTTCAATTTCATTTTCTTATCAGCGAAATCGGCTTACTTGACCATGAAATTGAGAGCCGATCCCTGAGAAAGCACTGGAATGTGAGATGTTGAGCCCCAACAGTTGGGGACGTCGCTGAAGTTTAGCGGCCAAACCTAGCACCATATTCGACAATATGATGCACTCATGGTGAACTCAAGAAACTCCAATGTCTTTATACCTGTAAGATGAGTCCTAGTCTGCGGAAATAGTGGGCTCATCAACCGAATAAAAATCTCTCGATGGACTGAATGATTCGCCGAATAGCATTCTAAATATCTCTCTCGTAGAACCATGCTACAAGAGTGGCGAATCCAGCCGGAGGTCGTCTCACGGAACGGCCATAGAATGACCAACGATGATGAGGGACATTCTGCTGTAGACCGTAAATTCAAGACCACAAAATAATGGGATTGATCATAGCGATCGCGGTTTCAGCTTGCCGATTCCGACTCGATTAAGAGTACGGTCGAGCTCAAAATAATTACCGATCAGCATACGATCAGGGAAACTCCAAACGCTCCCTGAGCACCTCACGATGAGGAGTAGACAGACACCATTTCGTTTCCTGGCATAGTTCGCATATGTCATCGTGAATGGAGTTGTGCCCTGAGGACCCAAGTAGAACCTCAACGGTGGCAACTTGCTCATGTATTGGCAAGGGAAAGACCATCGCTTGGTCGCTGTGTTGAACGTAAACGTAGCATGGTCAGTTTGAGTTTTAATACCATTGATGAGAGTGTCATAGTGTGATATTGGGA